GGTTTTAATCGAACGAAGAATTTTTTTTGAACCGACATAATTTTATCCACTACACTAATTCACACCCCCCCCCCTCCTCCCTCTTAGTGTCAATTCGTTCCAAACAATTGGTTCATCGACACTTCGTCCAATCCTTCGACGCAGCATCCTCTTTTTGTGATTTTTTACCCAATCGACATGTTGACCTTTGCAACTCCAATCTTTTTGGTGCAATGTCCACTCTTTTAGGCCCGATGCTTGAACTCATAATATAAAGCCTTCTACCGACACGTCGACCAATCCTCCAGCTCAATGTCCAATATTTTGACATATTCTACTCCGGCCCAACATTGATTCTTCCTGCTTTAGTTGTCTCTTCATAATCGAAGTTAGTCCTGCATCACTTAAAACACATATTAGATCATAAACTTTATCAATTGGTTTAATCATCAAAATCTAAGATTCAACAATCTCTCCATTTTTTATGATGACAAATAATTGATGATGGAATTTAAACCAAACTCCCCCTATCAATATGTCATATTGATAGAAACATAAATTCAGAAATAAATTATAAATCCAAGCAACATGTCATCATAAAATCATGCATAATCAAAATTTAATACATCATTTCATCCATGATCGTCATCATAACTTCTCCTCCTTTGTCATCAACAAAAGGAGAAGTGCAACTAGTAAGTTTTTGAGATATAATTTCAAATCATTGCATTATAATTATAGTTTTAAGTTTTTGAAATATCATTGCATATATCATCATGCAATCTAGTAAGTTTTTCAGATATGAATGTTAGCAAAACTTTTTCATCTTTTAAGATGTGCAAGATATCATGTTTTTTTTTCTTTGCAATATTCAAGCTAGCAAGTTTTTTGAAAAAGAATGTAAGATTTATATCATTTTAGAACATACAAGCTAGCAAATTTTATATCATTTTAAAACATACAAGCTAGTAAGTTTGCTTTTCTTTGCGATGTGCAAGCTAACATAATTTGCTTCTTCTTGAATTGTGTAAGCTAACAATTTTTTATTCTCTTTTGATATGTACACACTAGTAATTCTTTCTCCTCCTTTGTCATTGGCAAAAAGAGGGGAATAATACAAGGGTGTAATTTATTTCCATTTACATCAATTCTCTAAGCATCACATAAGGTATACAATCATAAATACAAAAGAAGTATACATAATGAAAATTATATCAAGAAAGATATAATATCAATGATCATGTGAATACCAAAAGACATGATTCATTTTGATCTTCTTTTTTATTTAAAAAAATATAAAAAAAAAATCTTAGGAGATCGAATAGTGAGGGAAATCTTTAAGTCATGAATTCTGAAAAAGATATTCCCTTTAGTAAATAGAAAAAAGGAACATAGGAGAATAAA